TCAGCTTAGTTCTCGGTCTGAGCCTCCCAAGCTAGCGTTCACGTCAAAACAAACACCAAAGGTGCAAAAGGTCTATTAACGCCCAAAACGAAATCAGGAACAGTTGTACAGCGCTTCGTATATATAGCGTAAGCGGCTATAACTTTCTGGAATTTCTGACGCGTCCTGGAGCTCCATTGGCAACCGGCATTTGGCCAATACTGGGCCATGATTAGCTGTTGGGTCCAGATTGTTGACCAATCAGATCCGGTTTTGATGCCGGACCGGCAAGCGTCCCGAATTTTGGGCCAACCTCGAGCGGGCCAGGCTTCTCGGCCGTAGCAGCGCCTAAAACGTGCGGTAGTATAGTGGGATCCGCGTGGAGTCCTGTCTAACAGGATCATAACTACGGCGACAAATATTTTGCTTAATCACTACGTTGCGTGAAACGTTAGAGTTAGCCAAGCAATGAAAATATAAGGAATTTTTGCTGTGTTCAAAAGCTATGAAATAATCGCTACTACGAATTCGTTGGTAGTCGACTCCATCTCTCTCCGAGGACATCAAATATATGCAGTGTCTACGTCTTCGAAGCCATGACTAGCCTTTCCAGCTGGGACCACCGTAATACACGTCTTAAGCTGACAAAGTCTTCGGCTTGGACCAAAGTGGACTTATTTACAGGCCCTAGGCACCTCGTGTAATCAGTCTCTAGATTAGCAGCGCTTAATCTGTAATACCTTCATGTTGTTCGCCACTCGCAACCCTTGCATTGCCTCCTATTCATACTTCTACAAATCTGCAACGTGTGATTAGTGGTCATCCAACATATACACATTCCTCCATGACACTCGGTGCATAGCTGCTATGCAACTCGAAGGAAGCACGAAAGCCGAATACTGGGTTGCATGCATGCTACTTTTGCACCAAATAAAACGTTTGATGTGACCCAGGTACCATTGTGAGTTAGCATCTGACTACTTCGGGTTCGATGCCTCCATGAACACATTAAATTAGGCTGTCGGTCGCCACCTTGACAATCCATACACTTGTTCCTGAGGTGCTAGGAGCTGCCAACAACAGTGAGTTACCGGCCGATTAGTGGTGAATCACATGCTGCACACAAACGTGACATACCTATTTATTTCAGCTGCCACGCAGGCAGCCGCTGTTCTCCTATCATTTCATTCTTGACAAAGGTTGTCTACTAAGCTACCTCACCATTCACTCCATCTATCGTCTTCTTATTTTAGCCTTCTGCTGATTGTTTATTTCACCTGGATGAATGCCAACCCGGTCGTTCTTCAGCTCCCTAAACGGACGCCAAAATTCAACGGTTTCGCTTACATTGAACATGCTAACGCATGGGACGGTCTGAGAGAGCCCATAGATGCCAAAGAGGTTTTCGGTAAGCTTCAACACGTTATTGTGTTTGGTGTGTTCTCCATATGTATCCTTGAGAATCTCGTGAAATCTATTATGATCGTACTCCATTCGTAGTTCGTCACTCGCCACCACGAGATGAGGAGTCCATTGCTTGAAAGTAGACGAGCTGAGATCTGCAAGTCAGTTTTGAGACCACTTGTATTTCGCAGCAACTGTGTCACTTTCAAACAAACAGATTTAGCGACCTCATCATCAGCATCATCATCATTGTCAGCTGTAATAACAGCGTACTTGTCGTACAGTGGTTGTAGCTGTTTCGTTCACAAATGATTCGGGGAGGCGGGGTAGGTAGCTGCGCATTGGAGGCGGGAGCTGATAAATTAGTGCATAAGTACACAACTGTCAGTCGACTGTTAAGTGGGAGAATTGGGAAGATAGCTATGCATTGAAGGCAATAGCTTGGATGCATAAACGCCATTGAGCGAGCGACTGGGCCATGTTTGACAATGTCTCTAACCGTTGATGCGGCCCGTCTCGGGATCCCCATCAAAGAAGACGACCATAACGAGCTCAGCTGAGTTTGCTCGTAATGACTTCTATACCTCGCTTCCAAGTCATTGCTTGACCGCCTCTGGCTCTCGTCCACCCTTCACACGGTTGTGCAAAGAGAACCCTTCGAGGAAGAATGTCGACTGGCATGCGCAGCAGGTGGCTAAGCCAGCTCAACCTATGTAGTGTGATCATCGATGGTGAGTGATTTCTCCCGAATACCGTTTGGGTACTTCAGCTGATCCGGTGTTCCCACCTGACTCAGGCAACGCTCCGAAGAAATCGATGGTCAAACGCTGAAAGTCTTGACGTCCTCAGAGCGCAGCGGCCAGGTTTCTGATCCATATAGTAATATGGAGCGCACCTCAGCATTGCAAACTCAACCCTTGATGTCACGCCAACGTCACAGGTGAGGCAGGTTCACAAAAGCTGCTCTGGCCTTCCCCATTTGGATGGAAATATCATCTTTCGCGAGATCGCCGGGACTGATACAGCAGCCCAGGTAAACAATCGGTTCATCAGTAAGCATGAGGCTAGGGTTCGAGCCCACCCAGTCTTGCAGTAGCACTTTACACTTTGCAGGTGTGAAGCGCATACCAAACCGCGAGGCAGAATTATTTAGATGATTTAATATTGTTTGCATTACCACGGGTCAGATCCCAGAGAAGCTGCGTCATCTGCGTACTCGATGTCTATGAGCAGACGCCTCGAGAGCACTACGACCCCACAGGCATTAGAGGCTGGTAGTGAGTCTTCCGTGATCGTATCAGTGACGAATTTGGATGTGGACCTGTCGGACACCACTTGATGTGATGAACTCAGGCAAGAGCTTCTCGTAGATCTGACTTGAATCAGCCACCTTCTCGTGGTGGTCCGGCTCCAGTGGGCTAATCTGGCTGGAACTCAGTTCCACAAGTTTCAGGCATACCGAGAGGGCCGGGTAAAGGAATACCAGTCCCTGTTCTTCGAGAAATTGTATGAATCGGTCTTGAAATGAAGTTGTGCCGTCCTGCCGGATAGGAGAATGAAGGCAGTAAAGTGTCACCTTTGCCGACCAGCATGTCCATATTGATGGGAGCAGTGATATTGCTGAAAAAGGCTGATTTAGGAGTGGTTGTCCCTAAAAACTGCACATTCCAACCGCCCAACAGTGATCACCGATCCATTACTCATTACGGCCAAAATACTTTTAGACTTAGAGTCTGGTGCTACTCAATACATACCTGCTGTATGCAGTCGCATTGGTAGTCAAATAACTGTGCCTTACTCCCTGCGTCCTCGGACCAGAACCACTAAGCTATTGTCTTCCGGAAGGTTCCTGCAAGAAAAGCCTAACAACGCTGTCTCACGGTTCAGATTTTGGGTCAGTAGCTGTAGCAAGGATCCCCGAACAAACCCTACGTCTTCTCACTGCCTTGTGGGCCAGACTTTTGAGTCAAAGGTCCAAGATGGGGTATTTCGAACAAACCCTGTCCCTCTGTCTTGGCAACCAGAAATTATCACCCGATCTTGCAGCTATTGAATCATTGAATCAGCGTGGACCAAATTAGACCATGTGGCAATCGCCGGTGTTGTGCTTTGACACGAGGTTTTTGTACATTTTTACTACACCACTTGACTCTAAGCACGACATTATGCGGGCCTGTGTATCTATTCGCTTTTCCTCAGCAATGGTGAAAGGTGTTCAGTTCATTAACTGCGAAGCGTCACTGTGGTTGAGTTGATTTGACTGAAGCTCCGGGAACTCGACAGGCACAATGGTATTAGTGCTGGTTTCAGCGATGATTTGTAGATTGTGAAGGTTATGCTCATAGCTCTTGAAGCCGTTTGCCCGACAACGATGGCACATCTTGGTAAACACTGGATCATGTCACGATCAGCAGCTATGATAGGACCTAGGAAGACCTTGCCATTGCGCGCACAAAAGCCTCAGACGCCGAATAATGAAGAGCCAAAGGATTGACAAAGGACGGCAGTTGATTGCAAAAGTCCAAGAAAGGGAGAAAGCTTTTGCAACGGGAAGCAATCGCACCCTGTCCCATCTGGTCAGAGTCGGGTGAGTGTCAGTCAAACGATCTCCGAAAAGGATGGGACCTGAATTTATTAGCAGAGACGTCATTGTGAACGACAGGCTGAACACTTTGATGAACGATCGCAATGCGTCCGGCATTCACGTTCGCTCACCGACTTTGAGCACACTGTTGGTATGACTCCCCTCAGATCACACTCTTTAGAAATGCAAATCATTCCTAATAACCAGCTCCTCTAGTTTGGTTTGGAATGCACTTTGCATTTGTGAGGTTCAAAGTGTTACTATAACGTAAGTTTTTGATCAAACCCAAACCTCACGCTTGCAGATGTGCCAATAAATGCAGCAGATAATTTCGACTATTTGAACAGCTGCATGAGTTCCTGTGGATCCGTGAGGGGTGGAATCTGTTAGGACGGTCAGGTCCCAACAGACAATTCTACCCTTGGTCATATTTCACTGAGATGTCATGTCCTCCCTCTCACTTCCTGAATCGGGAGGACAATGGTGGCGCTTGCAAACTTCTGGCACTTTTGGGCAACGACTTGATGCCAGCCCGGTTTTCGGAATGTACTATGATGAGGTTCCATATGTAGCACTTTATGAATCGGAAGCGTGGCCTGTGCGTTTGGAAGATCTTCGATAGGCCTCAGTGTTTGGTTATCGATCTGCCTAAAGTGTTGCGCAGGTCTAGTGAAATAATCAGATCAATACTACCGAGCTACACCAGGTGGTCTCCAGAAACTTATCTCCGATAGATCAGCTGTTTACACCATTGGTTATGGTGTTCAGGCTAAAAGTTGGATGCGAAGTGATATTACTAACACTGTACTACATAAGCGTTTGTCCTTCTTACTCGCGCCCATTTTTTATTTAATGGTTTTCGATAAGCCAGTGATTTGAATTAGACCTGGATTTGCCCACTGGTTCTAACTCAAGGGCGTGTAATGCTAATAAGCTGCACAGGTCGCTAATCATGACTGGCTAAGCTTTACTGGTTCCGTTCTATATTCTATTATCCTTCTAGAACACATTCGGGAAGTGCGTGACCCTGAACACCCATATAGCCTTGAGGCATTGGGTGTGGTTTCCGAAACCGCCGTCTCCGTGAAAGATTCGGAAAACCTTGTTTCGATCCAATTCACCCCAACCATTCCTGCTTGCAGTTTGGCCACACTGATTGGTCTGGCGATCAAAGTCAAGCTAACCAGATCTTTACCTCGTCGATTCAAGGTGAGATCTTACACAACTTTAATTTTCAGTTGCTGCAGCATTTAAACACTAGGAGTATCAAGCTGCGAGCCTAATGAACAAAGGTCATCACAAGTTAAGGAGTTTTAAGATTCTGTCTCTTCATTGCTGGTTTTCACACAAATCGCGACTGGCGTGCAGCGCTTTGGTGACTTAGGGCAACGTTGGTACCAAGTAGCCTAGTAACGGAAAAAGACTGATTAATCAGGAAAGACAAAAATGTATCACGAACAGATGAGTGCAGAAGTACGAGGGACATCGCAATATCCAATGCTATTTGGTTGTTTTGGATGGTTTATTGCTTTTGCTTGTGGCACTCGCGGCAATACTCAAGCATTGTCAGTCGTTGATTCTAATCGGTAGTTGATTTTTACCCAGATCCTTAACGGCCTCTCTAATGCGACTTCGATTTCAGTAGTTTTCGGGCAGTATAGGATTGTCTTCCGTAATCAGACCCTTCTAGTGTGACCTAATGTAATTCAGTTCTTACTTCCGACCAGTCTGTGTCACGCACCCACCTGCGAGTGTGTAAGCCGCAAACTAGATACAGTTTCGTCGTTTGTGAAGTACAAAATAGAGAGCATGTGGGTTGTTTGCCCCATCGTTTTCCCACGTAACTTGCCACTTTCCATTGGACATTTCTACTAGGTACCACAGATTTGTTCTTTTGGCTCTTATCCAAGGCAACATGACACTGGTGCAACCGTCTCTCCTATACCTCTCAAATTTCTCGCAATTCTCAACTGTTCAAGTCTGCGAGGTTCACTTCATTTACTCATGTTCACAAGAGGTCTCCGGTTGTATGTTATCCGTTTCTCTAAAAACCAACGACACTAAGAACAGTGCATTCTCATGTTCTAAGCGAAGCACATTTATCATCCGTTCTTTCGTCGTTCAAACTGTGAATGACTGTTACGCACTATTCAGAAAATAAAATAGATAATCGTTCAGCTTTAACACCTTTTGAGTACCTAGATGCCATGCCATTAAAAGGAAACACATGGACTGAAATACTGTCAGGTTGCTCAACCCTACAATGGAGCAGTTGAGATGCCGGGGTTGGGTTCGAACCACGGACCGTCCAGTCAGTAAATTTACACCTTAACCACTGAATTATGTGGAGCTCTAATCAGCCAGTGGTTATACCGCGAATTTACTGACCGAAACATCCGTGGTTCGAACGCGACCTCTGCATCTCAACTATTCCTGTCTAGGTTTGGACAACTTGGTAGAATCCCGTCCTCGTGCTTCCTTTGGTTGGCATGGCAGCTAGGCACCGAAAGGGTGTTACAGCTGAACGATTCTTGATTACTGTTGATAGATTGGGACCGGATGTTTTCCATTCATGAATTTCTTACACTCGGTTTCTGGACAGCTTACTCCCCAAATGGATTAGACTCATCTTTCCTTGGGAATCGCTATACAAACGCCGGTGGTCTAGTGTTCTACAGGCCGTGTAATTTCAGAGGTCAAAATGCTGTCAAGACTGGTTTTGTATTTCCAAGATGCTGTCCAGTAGCCTGGTTTTTTTTCTTCAGGGACTTCCAAATCGTAACTGCTAGTTTGACAACAAAGGGGCTTGGTTGGGATAGGTCTCTCTGTGAATTGTCTGACACATTTCCTTCAGTCTCCTAACGCATTTATAGCCTCTCTTTTTCGGTCGATCGAACCGCGGCTCTCTGTTCAGCCATTAGAAAGCTTGTGACTAATGCGAATAATTACCAGCGAATTCAGCTCACGTTGGCTCTAGTCGAGCGCAGCAACACGTATAGAGGTAAGTTTAGACTGCCAGTGGGATGTGCACCGGCTCACTTGGGACGATGTCACTCACTGGTTAAGTCAGAACTTCATGCGTACACCTATCCTCTCCCCATTCTAAGTTGTCTGTGGTAGCTGCTGTTATTCGTCGTACCCTTAGCTACATGATTTCTGACCAACAAGCCAGGTTAATCTGCGCTGAGAAACGACCCGCATGTCACCCGGGTTTCGCTCGTTTTGACCCATAGACTGTGCGTTCAACTCCGTGGGGTCGTTACCCACGGTGTGGCATATCAAACATCTGTTCGCCCTCACTTGCCTGCTTTCACATCCCCAGATCAGTGGTCGGGTACAGTTCTCCCGTTCATTGAATGTTCCTGTTTACAGTTCTTTGTTAGTGAAACGATACATTAGCTGTATTTCCTCCTTTTAGATTAAGGTCTCCATCGCTCCGGGCACACACATCTCCGAAGAGGAAATTAACAAGCAACTGGCGGACAAGGAGCGTGTTGCTGCGGCCCTGGAAAACCCCACTTTAAGAAAACTTGTAGATGATTGTCTCATACCATCGATTGTTTCTGATGCAGATTGATAATACACATGTACCCGCAAACTCTCATCACTATTTATTTCCCAGGTGGCCCAAGTGGTTAGAGCGCTAATTTACCGATCGAAAGGTCCGTGGTTCGAACCCGACCTCTGCTTCTCAACTTCCCCTGTCTAGGCTTGGGCAACCTGGCAGTATCCCAGCCCTCGTGCTTCCTCCGGGTGGCATGGCAGCTAAGCACCGAAAGGGTGTTACAGCTGAACGATTATTTATTTATTTCCCAAAGTAGCCGGGACTCCAAGCAAGTACCTGCCCCGTTGAAACTAAGAATGGATATTGTTCCGCCTGCTGCGCATTCAGGCACATAAGGTTCCGTGGAATATTCCCTTTCGAATTCATTTCAGGCAGCAGCAGCAGTCAGTCAGGATTAGATGATATCTACGGGGATAGATGACCCATTTTTCTATTATGCTAATAGGAACAAACAGCTGTCCGTATCAAACACTTCTGAACGTGTCCATATTGTAGGTACCGGTTTTATGTTGATGCTTACAGAACCTGATCGGGACAGCCTTGTGCTTACTGATCGTCTCATTAGTGCGCGTTCGGCTGAACGGAGCGCAACCTTGACCCTTTCAAAGCACAAGTTCCATTCACAGCATGAGTCATATTTGAGTAGCGGACTGATAAAATCGTCGATTGTTCTTTGGGTTAGGACGCTATATTTATTCAAACCTGTCCACCACAAAACGGTGACCATGTATACCAGCTACTTGTCACAATGTTCGTTTTTAACTTGGTGCACAATCTGAGCCCGTAGTGCGACCTGATGTCACGCACAGTTGTGAACCACTTCGGTAAGAGAAGCCGGCAGGGGCATTTTAAAGAAAAACCAGTGAATTGAAAGTTAATAAGAACCGGCAAGTTTTCGTATGATCGCGGAGATACGGTTGATTCGACCCCATAAACAGCTGCCAGTAAGGTGTCACGTTTTTGTCGCTTTTATAGCATCAGTCCGTCGTGGAGTCGTAACCCTGAAATCTGTGGCTCACAATGTACCCCTTTAGGAATGGACTTGATACAGATGGCTATTCGTTCGGCTCTCGGTGAACTGGAAAGAGGAAATCAGAACTGACGGAGAGTGTTCCAATGAGGAAAAGCGCTTGAGGTAATCTATTACAGCTCAGGAGAAGTTGCGGGTGGCGATTCTCTAGGTATCGGGCCTTTTGAGGACTATTTTCTCTTGAGGTAATCTATTACAGCTCAGGAGAAGTTGCGGGTGGCGATTCTCTAGGTATCAGGCCATTTGAGGCACTATTTTCTGACTGTTCAAAGTACAATATGTTGGTGCAACCCGAGTTAGGGTCAGATATGGTGGCATTCGTTTTCAATTTGGCCTTTCACATCGAACTACACGGATGAATTCCGCGCGCAGTAGGCAATGTCACATGCGGTTTGCGCTCCAACTGAACGCCTTGTCCTTGGTATAAACCCGAGGGAATGAGACCGCAGGGTGGACAGCCGTTTGGTGGCCCATAACTGCTATTTCGAGTGAAGACAAGTAGACAGTTGCGACCCGCGGTTCATGCGAAAAGGGTCTGGTGGCCCGACACACACACACACACTTAAATGGATAACTAGTGCTAAACGTTATCCAGCTTGATCTGTATGGTGATATTAGCACCACTACCCAACCAGATTTGTCGTACCAAGGCTACCTCGCGGCTCTTCACAATTTCTCAGCTTTCATGAGGTAATCGCAGAGAATGCCTCCCAGGAGACTGGCTTCAGAACTTCTACACATCATACAGTTGATATGAGAAGCCGGCGGCGCGCCCCCTCTGGAGTAGCATCTGTAGCATGGTACTGTTTTCGTCGAGTTGACAGCTAGACAGGAATTTGATGGAATTTCTATGGACGTTAGAATTCTTTTTGCACTTAAGTTCCAAGTATTTCTCATCCTAGCCAAGAGTGTCTCACCGCTTGCCACTCTGATTGTTCATGAAGCAACGTTTTCATATCAGCCCCATACGGAATTCAACTTTAGGTATCGTCCTCAGAGAGTAGTCTTCAGCAAAAAAAACAGCAAGCAAATATGTCCCAGTCAATAAGTAAGCAGCTGCAGAATAGTTGGTTAAGTTGAGCGTTCCCAAAAATTCGTTGCCTATAGGCTTCAGTACTTGTGAATTATGCATCAAATCTTCTGTTTCCACGAATAGAATAAAAGACAATAATATTGGGCCACTGGCACCTGTACCAACTGTTTCAACTACTTCACCATGATCTCAAGAGTGTCGAATCTGTTGAAAAGGTTTCGGGTTGGAGACTATGCACCAGGGTGATGTGAAGGTAAATCCTACAACTCCGTCGACCACTTAAAACCTCGGTCAAGAACCGCTGGCTTAGTTTCAACGACTCCGATGCCGTGCTCGTCGAGACGGCACTAATGAATGTTTTCACCTACTCGAGTACAAAACATCAACCTGTTCTACGGCACTAATGAATGTTTTCACCTACTCGTACAAATTATCGACCTGTTCACAGGTTTTCCGTCTGTGATGTGTGGAAGAAGGTTTACGGAGTCCATCAATATGAGCCCCGAAATTGTGAGTTTCATAAGATGCGTGCCGCTGGTCATTCCTAGCTGCACTGTGCTTCTCGGCTTTTCAGCTTATAA